GTTTTACAATATACTGGAAGCGAACAACAATGAGTTAGTGATCAGTGATTTGGAACCTAAAGTCTTCAAGGTACGAATTTCGAGTTTTATAGCTTCTTTTAATCATTTTCTCGTCTGTGTATTATTTGTCGGTATTTTATCCATGGCAATGTTTCACCTTATACAGGCCTTGTTACACTTCATGTATAAAGACTCTCTCTCGGGAGATGTGGAACCAGTAACGGCTCATTCATTTAACCTATTAAAGCTGTCTGAAATCGATGAGACACTGATCGTAAAGCTTTTGGCAGCTGCAAACAAATACAATCTGAGTAGGCTCAGACTATTGTGTGAATCTCACCTCTGCAAAGGCATATCTATCAGCTCCGTATCCAAGATCTTAGCTTTATCAGACAGATATAATGCAACTGAACTAAAAAGCGTTTCCCTAAAATTCGCTGCTGAAAACCTACAAGGTACAATCACGATACAGCTTTACGAGACAATGCTGATATAAATCTTCTGTAAGTTTTCTTTTTCTAATGGCTGTCTTGGAAACTATAGCTGTTCTGCAGACAAAAACTTATGAAGATCTCAAAGATGACTATCCAAACCTCCAGTCCGAGCTACTACAGGCGGTAGCTGGTTATGACGAAACAAGTAGCAGCGGAGAAGGAAAGTCTCAGAGTGTTTGGGGCCAACTCTCTGACAATGGTGAGACCAGCAGCCGAAGACTAAGACAGCGAACCACATAGAGGAGCTTCACTCTTTTGTTTGTTGTAAAGCAATGTACATTGTTTTATATCTTTTGCTTATGACTCTTAAAAAGGTTAACCGATGTATCTTTTTATTGCCCATATATGGCTACTCAGTGAAAGAGTAGTGTAATCTAACTATATACAGGAGTTAACTTATTCTGACTATTTTGAAAAAACATGACTCTTCTCTTCCAAAATTCATATTTTTTTTTGTTCTTTTTTTGGTCAAACTGGAGAATTATTATTATTAACATCAAAAAGTCAACACAACAAAAGTCTAAAAAACCTTTAAAAGGTTTTGCTAACAAAGCCAAAATATAGTAACCAAGCTAGTATAAAAAAACAATTATACAATTAGAAAAAAAACTGAATCTCTTATTTAACGACATCTCAATCCGCAGAAACCAAATTTCTTACTAAATTCCATCCCAATCCGGAAAAACCGAATCTCTCACTTTTTAATTTGATACCTTAACCACTCTTTTTTAAACCCAAACCAATATATAATTTCGTTTAATTACAAAATCTAAAGCGTAACCACAATTTTATCAACCCAAACCGAAATATAATTTCATCTAATTACAAAATCTAAACTCTAACCACTATTTTGTCAACCCAAACCGGAATATAATTTTGTTTAATAACAAAATCTAAACCTTAACCACCAATTTATCAACCCAAACCGAAATATAATTATTTTTAATCACAAAATCTAAACATGAACCACTAATTTGTCAACCCAAACCAAAATATATTTCCTTAATAAAAATCCTACAAAATTTGTTTACTTAATTTGCTTTATTTTTTTTGTTTAGTTTTAATTTACCTTTTTAAATAAAAAATAACGTGACATATTGTTGTTTTACTGTAATTATTTATTACACTATATAACAAAAATAGAGACTTCTATAAATTACTTGCACATAAAGCTACCTAAATTACTTACACACGTCTTTACTTTTTCCTTATAATTTAAAGATTTGACCACGCTCAATCAAAAGTCACGCTCAAATAATCAAACACGTGTCCGTCGGAATAAACAAAAACTAAATTACTTGTTCTCCAAGTCGGTTCTAAACAAAAACCCTATATAACAAAGACAACATAATCTCCTAATTTAACTCGCTAGAAACTTTCCTTTTTACACACAACTTTCCAAATCCTAATAGGAATCAATCACCTTTAGATTTCTCTTCCTCTCTATATATATAACTAAACACAACAACAACAAACTTACCTTATACTACTTTTCATAAACTAGTGTTTCTTGTTGCTGTGTTGAACCAAGAACGATGGCTTCAGAAGTAACGTACGGTGAAGAAGAACAAGAAAGGATGTGGTGTGGTCACTGCTGCGTCAAAACTCCTGTTCGTCGTGAAGGAACCAATGGTTCTGTCAAGTATGTTTCTGTTTCATTCTTTCACCAATTTGTTTTCTATTTCTATATATTTCTATCTTTTTAGTTGTTTACTATATTTGTGATTTTGATGTTGCAGGTCGTGTAATTGGT